GGCAGACGGCATGTCAAGTCCATTTATAATGCTGTTTGTGGAGAGTTTGAAAGCAAAAGGCTTTGTGTATTTTGCTATGCTTTAGCACTATTAAGTACAGAACAGCTGCCTTTGTGGATAAAGGCTATTATTGTTCAACTCGCTACCCAGTGAGAATGATTGACCATACAGACATAAAAATATCTGGCACATGTGCTGTAGTCTAAATCATGTCATGGTTTTACAATGATTTCCATTATTATTGTACAATGCTACAATGAAAAAGGCAGACACGTAATAAAATTAAAGTTCTATGAAACATATGGAACAACTGCTCCATAGTTATAGCTATTAATATCTATATAACAGATCAAGCAGTTGAAAACTTTCTAAGGTTTTATGATTTTTCTACATGAAATAAGGCAAAATTCCTATTTTTGATTCAATGGGCTATCATTTCTGTGTGGTTTTAACCAAATGTAACTTGACTCAAGAATAAAAGCAATAAGTAATTCTGTATGTGTTCCTCCAGCCATCATTATATTCAGTGGGAGGGTTTAAGAAATACACAAGGGAAACATATTTACAATGGAATAAATTAAAAAGCTCCCTGAGTCCCATATATAGAATATTAATGCTGGAAGTGGTGTATATCAAGAACTTTGACACTGGATATATTAGACTTTCTTTTAATTTTTTCCATTGTGCTCAAAAGCTTTCAGTAAATGTCAGCAACACTTTGAAAGACTGACAGTGAGTAGGTCTTCAAATAATCACTCTTTGGTTTAAAATCAAAGAGACGTACAAACCTGGCCTGCAAAACACTAGTCATATTATGGTAGCTGATGTGAATTCAGCAAGACAAACAGAATAGTTATTACAGTAGCATTACATTAGATTGGTTCTGCACTGTGGTCACAAACCACTTGAACTGAAAACACTGTAAGGAGTAGGCATTTTTGTTTCTGATCCCTATGATGGGAACTCATAAATCTTTGCGCATTCTGGAAGGATACTCTATTAATTAGAATATGCTGTGTACCTGTGTAATCATTTTCATTTCTGTGGTACAGAGGAATGTTTTTGAAATGAGCACCTGTTCTTAACGTTAGTAATCATCACAAAAGGAGTTAAAATGTTATTGTACTGAAAAGACGGTTTCTCAGCATGGAATTTCTAAAAAACACAAGCATACTCAATTTCTTATTCTCCTTCTATATATTATCTGTTGTAAGTCAAGTGTTCTCCAGATTCAAGAATTTCTCACTTATGGAAAAAAAGTGTTCTTCATTATAGCCAACAAGTTTACTTTCATAGCATAATGCACTTCAGCATTACTGTGAGAGGCTTAAACCTTGAAAACAAGGTCAGTTCCTTTTCAGACGGTAAAGTTCAATAACACAATTAAGTATCTCAAGTATAAATAGGGTGCTTTATCCTTTCACTCATGGAATTTCCACTGAAGGGAGTTCCAGCCTCATGAGCACCTATCTGCATGGATCTCTGGTAAGACAGTTTTCAGGTTTAAAATAATGTTGGTGGATCACTGGATACCAATATGTATTAAAAATGTACAATATCAACTTAATATTCCTCAACACTACATGCTTCATCACAAAAATGTGTAAAAATGCCATTAAGATGATGCTGGTAAACTTTTCAATGAACAAAAGAAAGATAACAGAAAAAACATTAAAAATCTGAACAGTGATTCACATTTGAGAAGATGTGAACATTAACAGTATAGCACAAGTTATCCCATGTCTCCCATTTTAAGAAGACCACAAGAAATTAATTTTACATGCTAAAAAGGCAGCATTTTATGAATTTGCTACTGAAGGAATAACCTGTCAATAAAAAGGAAACTCACAAGTTTGTTAAGAGTTTTAAGGAAACAGAAGAAATCAATATATTGCCAAATGACCAAATAATTCAAAACCAACTTGTAGCAGTTCCCCACCCCCATGCTTTATGAAAACTGGCTTATAAATATAAATATGCATAACTTTGAGATGCTTTAGACAAAATACCTCATGCAACCTATCAATTTTAATGCAACCTAATCAATTTTAATCAGTTTGCTGGATCTGTATATCCTATGTTGGTGGACATATTGTTCCTGGATATAAAGTTAGAAATATGAAGTATGAGACTTTATAATTTTAAACAAGAGCCATTACTGGTACTCCAGAAGACTTAATGACTGCATGATCAACTTAATGACCTGTAAATAGCCTTGTTTTCCTGTAAGACAGACTAGTAAGATATGTGGCCATAGCACCTGGTATAGGGTTTTCATTTTCAACCCAGGTAATTTTCCATGGAAGGGGGAATGTAGAATAAAAAATTCCTGTGCTGGGAAGAAGACTAATTCTGCAAGAGAAAGCTATCAGCACTTAGTATTTGGCTGGCGTGACACAGTCTAAAGATGGCTGGGGACCTAAGATATGATTAAAGAAGTTGTCTGTGACCTGAAGATTATGCTGAAAGCAAGAACAGCTCTTTAAGAATCTACTTGCAATACATTTTTTAGTGAATTAGAGCTAGCTATTCATCTTCCAGTGGGGGGTTTCTGTGATCGCACACCGTCACAAGCTAGTTCATGTGAAATTGCTAAATGACTGACTAAATGTTCAATAAGGGTGATCACAAACACAATATAAAGACTTGCAGATGATCCAGTTATGTCAGAATGGATTTTACATGGAAAATGACCAAAGGTTTAATATGGTTCATATACATGTTTACATTTTTTAAAAAAAGCCTGTCTTTGCAAATTTACACCGGGATTGTGAGTGGGTATGATGGTGTTCACAAGCACCTCACAAAGGCCAAGGCAAGAAAAGAACTGGAGCAGTATTGGGTTAGGAAAGCTCTACCCCTTAACTCTGCCAAGCATGTTCCTGGGGAAAGGAGCAGTACAAAAAGAGTTCCAGCAGCCCAGGTAGTGGGGAAGGGAAAAATCGATTTCCAGAAGGAGAAGCACTTACTGTGGTGACCCTGCTGTGAGCTTCCTCCGCATCTCCTTATAGAGACCATTACAGATACAGGGAAAACTGGAGGGCACAGAGGGCTGCCTACAACAGGCCTGAGACCCAAAGACTATAGGTAAACAGCAGCTGTGCCCCAAACTGAGACTCTAGATGGGGTAGGAAGAGGCTGGGGAAGGTGAAAAATCAATTTTTGTTAATATACATTAAACAATATATAATAGAGTCCCTCCTTCTAGCCCCAACCAACCTCCATCAGACCCAATGGAAATGGAATGCTTTACATTTGCTGTTACTCCACTCACTTTAGCTTTGTATGCTTTATCCATAATCAGTAATTTCAGAGTGGGAATTTTTCTTTTGCTGGGAACAAGTAATAAAACTACAGCTCTTTCTACTTGCCTCTTAAGTATTGTATAAAATACCTTATAGCTATGGGTGCAAATCATTTAGGATTTTAAAAAATAGTTATAAATTCCCCCACTCAGCAGTGTTAAATTATTAAAAGTGTTGCATATATCAATATAGCTTATTTTATACACATTTGAATGAATTCACGGTTTGTTTACACACTGAACTGAGAGAGACTTGAGCAGCAGGTCTTCACCATTAGGCATGATGGACAGACCATTCTGCTTCCGTGAGGAAAAACCAAATGGGGACAAAAAGGAGAAAAAAGCTGGCTGATAAAGAAATCTGTCTTGTTTAGGCATTACTTAAAAACCTTGAAAGAAGATTACATTTTAAAAACACAGCCTAGTTATCCAAAACCACACACACTAATAATGAAAGAAAACAACCAATCCAGACTATAATGTCTGAAGCACAAATGAGATTGAAACAGGAATAAAACAAACGAAGTTGACTCAATTTAATAAACTGTTCAAATTAGATAAGAGACACTCACAGTTGTTGTGTAAGCAGCTTCAGGATCATCCTCTAACACTCGTGACAGACCAAAATCAGAGACTTTACACATGAGGTTACTGTTGACTAAAATATTACGGGCTGCCAGATCACGATGTACATAGCCCATATCTGAGAGATACTTCATGCCAGATGCAATTCCACGAAGCATGCCAACCAGCTGGATGACTGTGAAGTGTCCATCATGCTTCTGAAAGTAAGAAAGTGCACAGTATAAGTTCAAGGATAGTTTTGATGGATTTAACACTATATAAACTGCAATTTGCACTTAAAAATTCATTATAGATGTAGGGTCCAATCCTGCAGTCCCAATCCAGGCAGAAATCCCAATGCAAACACACTTTTATCATTTGCTTGTATTCACAATGTTAGTTGGTCCTCCTTCTTCCTCATCCTCCTGTTACTGCAACTTGTCAGTTCTCCACCTACTCTCTTTCTCTCTAACTATTATTTCGGTCACCTTCTTTTCTACATCTCTCCCCTCCATCAAACCCTGCTTCCAATCCAATAATTACATTATCTCCCCAACCTTCAGTCCCTAGTGCCTCTTCCCTTCAAATTCCCTGAAACCTAAAATCAATTTTTGTTAATACAATGAAACAATATATAGCAAACTCTCTCTTCCTGCCCCCCCAGTTAACCTCCCCCCGACCCAATGGAAATCAGATGCTCGATAGCTGCTATTACTCCACTCACTTTGGCTTTGTATGCTATATCCCTTTGTTTTGTCAAAAATAGCTAAATGCAGCCTGAAGGCTTGGCACACATATAGTATTAATCAGTAATTTCAGAGTGGGCGCTGTTATTTTTCTTTTGCTGGGAATAAGAAATAAAACTGCAACTCTTTCTACTTGCATCCTAACTATTGTATAAGCTACCTAGTAGCTATGGGTGCAAATCATTTTGTATCTTTAAAAATAGTACTATATTCTCCCACCCTTCAGTGTTAATTGATTAGGAGAGCAGCATAAGTCAATACTGCTGATTTTCTCCAAGTTTGAATGCAAGTCAACAGGAGAGCAGCATAAGTCAATACTGCTGATTTTCTCCAAGTTTGAATGTAATAGTTTGTAACCCTCCCTTAGACTTATGGTGCAGACACACACATGTGTTATTTCCTGGTAACCCTCCCTTAGACTTATGGTGCAGACACACACGTGTTATTTCCAATTGTATTTTGGAGTTATTAAAAATGCTTTGGAGTCTAACTCTCAATATCGCTCTGTAATCAGCTCTTATACAGGCAGTCCCCGGGTTACATGGATCCGACTTACATCGGATCCCTACTTACAAACGGGGTAAGGCAACCCCGCACTAGCTGCTTCCCCCCAGCAGACCAGGGAGACGCGAAGCTAGCGCCCCCCCCCCAGCAGACCAGGGAGACACGGAGCGGCTTTTCTCAGCAGACACCTCAGCTTGAGAATAAAGGACTGAGGGAAGTGAGGTGTGGGAGAATAAAACTGAGCTCTGGAGAAATGTTTGGCTAGAGTTTCCCCTACAATATGTACCAGTTCCGACTTACATACAAATTCAACTTAAGAACAAACCTACAGTCCCTATCTTGTACGTAACCCGGGGACTGCCTGTATGCACTGAAACTCCAAAATGTGTCCGTTTAGGTCAGGGGTCAGCAATCGTTTCAAACCAAAGAACCACAGTACATAAAAATTCAGAACAAGTGGTCAATAAAAAGCCGTATAAGAATTCCCATTTGCATGACTGAAAACATACAATGTAGCATTATTGATAACTGACATGATTAATAATAGCATAAAGGAAACATTGTACTCACAGACTTTATTTAATGAGACTTCTGCTGCAGCATCTTTTTGCACATTTCATTGAAGTTTACATCATAACTGGTCAAACCCAGGTTCATGCACACGTTCAGGCTGTCTTCTATCAATCTTAAGGCAGAGGGCTGGGGATGTGGGGGTGCAGGAGTCTGCGTTGGGTTGTCTGAGGGGCCCAGGGCAGAGGGTTTGGGTGTATGATGGGCTCAGAGTTGGTGTGTGTGTGTGTGTGTGTGTGTAGGAGTGTTATGGCAAGGGACTGGGGAAATGGGGGGCAGGAGTCTGGAGATGTGGGGGTATGCTTGGCTCAGGGAAGGGGGTTCAGGTGTATGATGGGCTCAGGGTTGGTGTATATGGGGGTGCAGCAGTGTTAAGATGCTATGGCTAGATGGGCTCTGGGCCCCAACTGGGGCTTTGTTGGCCAGGCTTCACTTTTCAATAAAGTAAAATATTATATCCAACACAAAAGGTTTCAACACTGTCTTTATTTATAGCAGGAGTGGGGAACCTATTTTGGGTCTATGGCCACTGACCCACAGAAAAATCAGTTGGGACCACGTAAGTGAGCAACAACAACAACAAAAACCCCTCCCCAAACTGCCAGACCTCACTGATATGACCCCCAACTGAGACCCTCACTCCTCTGATGCTCAAGACACATGGTTGGGGGAGGGGCAGGGAGGAGTGCGGTTCAAGGTCTTAGGCCAGATTTACTCTTCTAGGGTTCCAGGGTTAGTGGATTTTGTGGGCCCCCCATGGCTCTGGATTGGGGCCAAAATGAGGGGTTAAGTGTGCGGGACAGGGCTGCCAATGAATGGGATAGGGATGGAGGGCAGGATCTGAGTAGAAACAGAGGTACAGGAAGGGGTGAGGGTGCAAGGTCTGGGTAGGAGGTAGGGTGCAGGAGCAGGCTGGGAATAGGGTGTCTGGCCAGAAGGAGGGGGCAGGAGCAAGGAAGGGTGGAGGAGCAGGATGGTGGTGGATAGAGTGTCTGGCCTGGGGGAGGTGCAGGAGCAAGGGAGGGTGCAGAAGCAGGATGGGGGTAGGGTGTGTGACTGGCAGGGAGGGTGCAGGAGCAGGCTGGGGGTGCAGGGTCTCAGCAGAGGGAATGAGTGAGTGAGCTGGGGGTGTGGGATTTTGGCGGAGTGAGAGGGATGGAGGTGAGGAGTCTTAGCGGGAGATGAGTGAGGGGACTGAGGTTGCAGGGTCTCGGCATGAGGGGGTGGGGGCACTTGTTTTCATGCGCACGCACCGTAGCTTAGGCACCGCCTCCCACTTTCCCAATTGGCCAGATTCTGGCCAACTGGAGCAGTGGGTAAAGCCTCCAGCAAGCACATCCCTGCACTGCTGTCCCCAGCCAGGGGAGGGAGAAGGGAAGTGGCAGTGTGGATGCTTCCCCACAAGCCAGATCTCGCGTGGATCCTCGGGGATTCCCCTCCCTGCAGAAAGCTGGCACTGGCGCTCTGATCTTGCAGGGGGCAAGAGGCTGGAGCACCAACATGGTCTTCCTGCTGTGGGGGGAGCATAGGAGGGGCTGAGTTGGAGCAGCAGAAAAGCCATATTTGGCTCACGAGCCATACGTTGCCAACCCGTTTTAGGTCAAAAACGACCCACAGGGTGGACATATGATCAGATTTTTACAGCTTGTAGTTGTGAGTCTCCAAACAAAGCAGACTCAATTCAAGCAAGTTGTGTGTACTGGTTTTGCTCTTTAATGTCTGTAATTTTATAATGTGCTTTGGGAGCAAAGGGAGTGGCATGTGATAAATATTAATTCTGAGAACAAGTACATTTCACAATTACTTTTCTTCCAGATACCCTGTAATTACCCTAGCTCAGAGGTCACCAGCCAGTAAATCGGGATCTACTGGTAGATCTTGGAGCCTCAGACAGGTGATCTTGACAGGTTTGGCCAAAAGGTTATCAATCCCAGCACTTCAGCTGCCCTTCCCCTCCCCAATTGTTGCACATATCCTGCCCTTTGCCTTGTAGCTGTCCCTTCAGGAGACTCTTCTTTCTGAGCAGGGCAGGGGAGGAAGAAGAGGAGGCACTGATGTCAAGGTACCCCACTCCCACCCTGTATTCTATCTCCACAGAGCAGAGAGGGGGCACAAGAGGACTTGGGATGGAGTTTCTGGCTGCTTTTGGGAGTAGTGCAGGGCCAGAACAGGGGTAAGTCTGCTCCACTGTGCCACCACTGGTGCCCAGCTGGTGCCCACATCCCAAAACCCTACTCCAGTCATGAACTCCATCCTGCACCCCAAGTCCCTGCCCAGCTCTGAGCACCCCTGCATCCAAACACCCTCCCACAGCCTGCACCTAGAACCCCCTCGGACATCCCAAATGCCTGGCCCAGGCTCAGCTCAGAGCCCCTCACGCTCCATATTCCTTAATCCAAGACCAGAGCCTGCATCCCAACCCTGTGCCCCAGACTGGTGAACATGAGGAAGGGTAAGGGAGGGAGGGAGGGAGAGAGGGAGGATGGAATGAGCAGGAGAGGGGGCCTCACAGGAGCATAAAGGAGGCGAGGCAAAGGTATTTGGGTTTGAGGTAGATCTTGGATTGCATTTAAACTCGAAAAGTGATCTCATGCTTAAAAAGGTTGGAGACCCCTGCCTTAGCTGTTTCAACACTGTGCTGCCTACATGTCCTCAGCTCTGCTATCACAGAAGTCAATGCCAATCTCTCAAAGAACCATATCGCATCTACATAGACAGCTGATTCCTCTTCTGTCCTGCCCAACTGCATCTACAGTCAGGCTGGTCCATAGTTAACAGTAAGGGCATTAGGCCCTTAGTAGGACCTTCTTAAAGGGGCCACATTGCATCAGAGGGAATCTCCCAGATGAAAACTCAATGATGGGGTATAATGGATAGGAGGATTTTTGACCAGCACCTGGTGGCAAAGGAGTTAAGCTCAGGTAGCTAGAAAGGGCGTTGGCCAGAGGGCTGGGAGAACCAATCGAAATAGAGTGCTGGAATTTGAAGTGTAAAAGGTACCTTGCCTGCTTTCTTTGTGTGGGAGAGTTAAACCAGGAGTTGAGAGACATAGAAAGATTTAAACCCAGGCAGGACTAGCCATGACTCCGAGGAATTTGGGCGATGGAAGTGGATTGAACAAAGAGAAGGTTGTGAGTAAACAAAGGGAAAAAAGTGAATCTAGTTGCAATCAGGGTATTTTTCTTTATTTTGTGGTTTGATTTGAACTGCTCTGTGAATCTGTGCCTCTTTTCTCCCTTTACCATCTAAGTATTATTCCCAGAGATTTTCTCTGTGTTTTTAATTGTTTTCCTTAGTTGCTCTGTAACATCTAGCAACTAAGTATGCTTTATCAAGTATATCTTCTGTTTTGTAATAAAAATATTTTTTAAGGCAATGATTTGACTCTTCTGTCCTGG